GCAGGAAAATGACTGTACATACCTGGTTTCCTTCTCATTCCTTTTGTTTTCCCGAATCAGGTCGTACATTGGGTCTTCGTGTGCCTAATAAAATATAACACAATGTCACACAAAAAGAAGGTAAGGTGCTACAATTCACACTATATCCAGGAACTATACATTCCAAACAGTGTTGTGTCAGCACTTTTAGGAATATCGAGACAATAGAAGGAAGGAAAATATGACACAGTTGCATTTATGGTAATCATTGCAGGTGCTGAGCGTTCCTGCAGCGAGCACTGTTTCATTAAAAGTCCACTGGAACGAGCTGTGTGCAGAGATCTGCTGCCCACATGTGTAAACTAAATCTGACCTTACTTAACTTTAGTCTCAGACACAAACTGTCTCTGTCATAGCTCCACGACATAAACGGGACTACTAACTTTTTTCTACTGCATTCACGCATTTTTCTACTGCAAGGAACCGTGGGTGGGCCAACCATTCTACAGGAGTAAACAAACTCACCACTCTGAAGTGCTCCAGTTTCTGGTTGCCTGTGATGAAGAAAGGACACTCCCGATCACCTGTCCTGTGGCCGTAGCGCTTGCACCTCCAGCCTTTACAAAAGGAAACAAAAATCATTGTTTGTCTAACGAATCAGACATTTCACGTACATGGCAGCAGAGTTGCTATTAAACAGACGTCCCACGTAAAACTGATTTTCTTCATCTCAAGAACTTTAGTTTGCCAAAATAACCCGAACTCATGGTGCTTTCAACAGTAGTTCGATAGAATATGCTCAGTGTCATGGTTATCGTGAGTTGCCATAAATGACTACGCAGATGCACCAACTGGTCACCAATCATGTGGCAGCCATCATGTGCATTCAGACATGCAGAAATGATCAAGACAAGCAGCTGAAGTTCTTAATGTGTTTGAACGTGGCATGATTGTTGGTGCCAGATGGGCTCGTCTGAGTATTTCAGAAATTGTTGATCTACTGGGTCAACAGTTTAAGTTGTTGTTGGTGTAATGATGTGTTTTATGTCTTCTTATGCACACTCTGTGCCTCTTAGTACCAACTGAGCATCATTTAAACGCCACAGCCAAGCCGATTATTGTTGCTGACCATGTCCATCCCTTCATAATTACAGTGCCCATGACAATAATCTCAAACATGCCAATCAAGTCATTTACTCCATGTAAATTTCACGACATCCCAAAGGTAGACTTTGGGATGTTGTGAAATTTACATGGAGGATGATCAGCCGCAACTGTGACATTACCACGTCAACATGGTTCTCTGAGGAATGTTTCCAGCGCCTTGTTGAATCTATGGCTACGTTCATGTATACTAACAAGGATTTTTCCGCGTTCATTCTGAAAAAACATTTCGGTCCACATGAAAACACCAAAAACAACTTCAAGTGGTGTCAAGTGCTTTCCAAGCGAACATGTGGTGTTATAACCCCAACTGTACAGAAAAACTGGCCAATCAAAAACCTTACAAACAATAACATGGCCACAGTCTGACGTCAAAAAGTCGCACACCTTTGATGTTGCAAGACAAAAATCCCCATTTTTGTTGTCCATATGTAACCGCAGAGTTACTGGAAAGCCTCGCCCTGAAAGGAGCTTTTCAAAAGCTCAGTTTAGGCATCTAAAACTGACCGAACATCTAAAACTGACCGAAACTTACTGAAAAACCTACGTATACAAAAATCCCCGTGTACATGTAGACAGGCCTACGGCATGATGAATCAAAACAGTTCTGAAGTCAAAAGGGGTTCCAAGCTGGTATTAGCAAAGCGTACCTAATAAATTGACTGGTGGATATGTATGTAAGCCCAGTCTAGACCACTCATCATCTAGCTAATAAAGCAAATCAAGGACAACTCAAACTGCATTAAATGACACAAACTGTAAAAAAAAACCCTGAAAGAAATATTATTTTATTAAATTGGATTTTGTTGAACAGCAGTCGGCGAGGGACGCAACAACCCCACGCAACAGCAACTCAAGAGTCGCACACGAAAAAACACGCTGCTCATGGTGAGGCGCCTGATTATCAGTGACAGATCATCTCAAATTCATTATCACTTTTTCTGCCCTGAAAACAAATCAGCAATTTCTATCCAAGTTTCACACCGATTAACTGCTCAAGTGGCAGCGTAGCATCTGTGAAGGACTTGAGTGTTTTTAATGCGAGTCTGCAGGAATTCTGTTCACCACGTAAAAGAAGTAATTTCTCGCCGTTCCTTTAAGCAGGACGACAAATGTACAAGTTTTTCACAAAGGATTGAGGGGAAAAAAAGAAAGACACAAACACCACTTTTTTGTTTGCGTGTGCATGTTTGCGTCTGAGCTCTTGCTGTTCGCAGCATGAAAATGTGTGGGACGAAAGAATGAATGGACACTGAACATAATGACATTCATTGTTTTGGGAAAAACAGACAGAAGATAATCTATGCAACACCAATTATTAGTCTTCGGTCCATCACTCTTGTCATAAAAACAATAGACACAGTGATAAATGTCAAGATCTCGCAGTTAACATTTATCACCTATCATAACTGCTGCCTACTCACAGTGGAGATTTACTCCCACCTACAGTTCCAGACCTATAAGTGCTGCTGGTACCTCACTAATAAACCGTACTCAAAACATTTCCCAGCATCCATGTGAGCTTGTTTAACAGATTTTTAATTTTTCAAATAATTCATTTTAAGTAAAGAAGCATGAGAGAATTTCTGTTACAGATAAAAATATTAATAAGGAGTGGAATGGCTGTACTTGAAATCATTTAGGTTCTCAGCAAACCACATTTCAAACATTTATAGGACTTGCAGACACTCTGTAGTGTATGCACTGTAAATTAAAAACATAAACTAAAGGACTGAAACTTGCCAGGCCAAAAACACTGCACAGCTCTAGGAGATTAATAATGAAAATATGTTAGAGTCAGCACTGAAGACAAGCATAAAATTTTAAAATAAGCACGCTGAAGTGAGCAGCTGAGTAATCACTACTGTCATGTGTCTTATGCCCCCTGTTCTAAAGGCAAGAGGCTGCCTCCTGGGATAGATTTCCTTCTGTTTGCCTAATTAGCAATGAGTGTCACCTCTGATATCAACACCTAACTCCTGTAGCTGTGAAAAGATTCCCGAAGGATGTGAAAAACTCAGTTAAAGACTGCATTTGCATGAGCAGAACTGTAAACAGCATGTTTATTCCCGTCAGTGCAAACTCGGGCACACTATACTCACACTGCATCACCTTCACCTCCCTCCCTAGAGGCATCCACAGCCCTTTCGTGGGAGCGTGGGCCAGGAAGCTTCTGGCTTCTTCATTTCCTGGTTCTGCAGGGATACAGTCCTCTGGTTTTTCTTCATGCTCCTGCAACACAAACCGATCACTGTCACCAATTCTCACGATTTGTCTTTACCTGAAAAAAGCCACATGTAATTTACTTCTTACTCTTAGCTGTCTATTACTGCGAACACGTTACCTTAATAAATCCCGGTGGAGGTTTCTCATAGCTGCATGAGAGAGAGATTAAAAATGGTTAGTATGCTGCCAAAAACATTAAAACAAAAAATAACAACACGAAGTTGCTGCCCCTCGCTTATTGCGGATAAGCTTGATCAACTTGAAAATGGGCGTCAATTAAGACGCATTTATAATTCATGCACAAGTTTGCGGGATTAAAGAGGAAAAGCCAGAGTGAAACTGGAGTTACTCACAATGTCTCGATGTGTTTCAGTTTCTGGACTTCTTGGCTGACTTTTTTCGTGTGCTTCTTCAGTTTCTCCAAATCATCTTTTGGTATCTTGTCCCTCTTGTGGTGTCGTCTGTCCTCCTTCTCTCTTGCTCGCTTTCTGTCCGACATCTTGCTTTGAACAAAATGATCACCCGACAAAAAAATACCGTTGTTATTAAAAGTGCATGCGGAGCTTTTACGTTATTAATTCCATGAAGATGAATCGTGCTAACACGCAGCTAACTAGCAAACGCCGCTCCAGCGCTTCTGCACTTCCTGTGCAGTCAGATTCGATTGTTAAAGTCCGGCGCCACCTGCAGGACACCGGCGGTAACACAGGAAGTGCGCCTGGATTCTCTTTCTCTCTCTTTTTATTTTTAAACACAAACGACAGTTTCTCTCAGCCGTAAACACTGATAAAAATGTTTATTCTTCCCTTATTGAATCCGTTTCCCAACCCATTTTCTATGATTTTCTAGTTTGGCAGTTTTAATCTTAATAACAGGATACTGGAAACAAAATGTCACTGTATGTTTTAGATCATCTGTGCCTCGTTTAAGTGACCTTTAACATCAACGGAACAAACCATCAGCGTGCGCCTTTAGCGTCTTTTCATGCATGTTGCGTTTCAAATGCTTCCATTTGAAGGTAAAGGTTTGGCTTTCCTAAAAATTAATAATAGATTCAGATGGCTCCAATCTGCTTATTGCGTTATTAAATAAATTTTGAATAATTTGAGTCATGGTAACATCGGAGTTCATTTGGATCTAAGTTTTAAATATATATATTACGTCGGACTAGTGTCTGCAAAGCCTTTTCCCCCATGAGGGCATTAAAGATCTCTATAAATACATTCTTTTAAAACTGCATTTAGGCATATAGACATGTTCAAGAGGACATGATGGCATATGTCAGAAGCTTCCGATCCACTCGTATTTTCCCACAGAAGAGTTTACTGACAATAACCTGAAAAGGAGAAAATATCCAAAGAGTATCGAACCTGGCACTAGCAAGGTGTACCTAATAAAGTGGCTGATGAGTGTATTTATTTCGTTTTTTTAAGCTAATTTTCTAAAGTTATTGATCACACTTTTCTTGCAGCCATATCTTAGTGTCTTAAACATTGCTCAGTTTCTAGATTGTAGGCAAGAACTGATATTGCATACTGAATACCAAATATATAGTCATATAATATGTGCATTTATCAGCAGACAGTACATAAAAGCAGCAGTAAACAGAGCAACAAAGTAAAGAGCCTACTTTCACAGACTGAAAGTCACAGTTTTATTTCAGGTATTTCACAGTGAAATATAAATGTGAGGTATTTCAGGATTTAAACAAATGTGTGTTCACTGAACAGCTAATCTACAACCGTAAGTAATCAGACATTACAAAAAACACACAAGTCATATTTAATAGAGCAATGGTGCAAAAGCATGTAGCCAAAGAAAGTATCAAAAGAAAATGTAAAGTTTAGATGACACTAATTGTAAGTCTACAGATGTTTGGCAGATGTGCCTTTTCATTGTAAACAGTGACTGGTGAGTCCCATTCTGAATGATAATCAAATATTTTCATTGGTGATTGATTTGTATGCATTTACAAATATGTAACAATGAGATATTTACATTTATCACTTCTATATTTCAACTTTGTAATAAAAAAACAAACAAACAGAAAAATGTTCCCACTGGAGAGAACTGAAAGCTGAAATAAGTAAATAAATCAAATACAAAAGTTTGAACATCAAATAGCATGAATTGTAGTTAAAGGTATATATTTTCTATATAAATCTATTTTTGTAACATTAGAAAATGGAGAAAATTAATATGTAAACCAGCTCGTCATGCCACAAATGCCCCCACAGAGAAAAGCCGGATTTCCTGTGATGCTTCGGCAATTTGATAAATAAATACTTTATAATCCTTCAACATCCACAGTTCGGGAGTTTACAAACGGGGGACGTGTTAAATTAGATGAAAAGAAGTCTGCCCGTCTTTCTGACTGTGCAGAAGATGCAGAAACTGACTGACAGCTGAAATAGCGACCTCGGTGCCCCCGGTTACAATTCAGGATTCTAGGAGCGCCGCTCCAATCCGCCCAGCAACTGTCGCGCTGTTGGACAAACTGTGTGCCTTTTCACTGGCTTGGAAACTCAACTAGTTTCTCAAGTTCTGATGCTCTGGATTACACAGATTACGACACGGGCCTCCTCCCATTTCTTTGCTTTTTAAGAGTATTCACAAAGATAAAGCGCATATAATCTTAAGATGCTCAAAGTGAGGAGAGAAAATCTTTCAAGCCCCCCTTCTTGGTGCCCTGGTTGTCCTCTCGCTGGAGAATCTTGCTTAGATGTCGGACAAACCAGTTTCTAATTTTAGGAGGCTTGGAGGAAGCTGAGCCCGAGCCTGATCCTGAAGTGGTAGTAGTGGAGGTGGAGGTGGAGGAGGAGGAGGAGAATCTAGAGAGAAGGAAGAGTTCAGTTAAGAGTTACAGTAACTTACGGTAAGATTTTGTTGGTTAGCAGGAAATGTTAAAAGCAAGCTATCACCAGCGACACGATCCGAAAAACGTGGAACCAACACGTGCCGCCCGCACATCTTGTTCCCTTAATGCTGACTTAATAGAAACTCAATCACTCAAATCCCAACATGCCTGACACATCACTGTCTCATATGTCTGCAGAACCAACTAAGTTTAATCAAGCAAGGCTGTAACTAAACTTTTGGCTCTGCGCATATTAGTAACAGCAAACCAAAATAAACTTACCTCGGTGTATGAGCAGGCGCCCTGTCCTTGCCAGGAGTCTTGTGGGCATTCATGCTGGATCTGCTGGTTGACTGTGGGGTTTTGTGCTTGCCAGCACTCCCTGGTGTGTTGTGGGTCTTAGCGAAGGTAGCTATAAAATCCCTGTTCACCCCCTTGTACCTGGATGTCTTATTGCAGGCATGGCAGGTGGCCATCTGGGATAAGGAGAAGGAAAGGAACATATCCATTAATAATGCATGCTCTGCGTCTACACTGCGCTCATACACAATGAGGTTTTGAGGTGAAGGCATACATGGCATCCCCAGAGGAGTACTTGGAAGGAAATCCGTTGAAACTTCTTGTGTATAATTTCAACAAATTATGTAAATCCTAGAGAGGAAGGTGAAGCTTTTTGTCATTCTAGCTATTATTTTTCATCAAAACTCACCATTTCCACAGTTTAATGGCTTTCTCTGGGACGCACAACAGTTTGGTGTGGACTTGGGCCTGACTAGCTGTAATAAAAATGGTGCACATGCCACAGGTGACGCAGGCCAACCCGCAAGCCTCACAGATGTCAGGGACACGTACTGACATCTCAAAGCTGAGGAAAAGTTTACAATGAGGTAGAGGAAGCTTACTAATGACAGGAGATTCACTTAACAGCTGAGGCTCTTCCCACTGGCTGTGCCAAAGATAATTTTACCTATGAACATTGCAGATATGAAAATAGTTGGACTGCTTGAAGCAGGATGGGAAAACAATGTGTTTAGCCTATGAGACGGCAAGGTGGGGCTGTTGCCATGCAATTTCGCCTATTCAGGGTACACTGCAATGTGGAAAGGTTACAACGGGTAACAGATCAAAGACTCGCAGAACTTTGTGCTCAAGAAAAACAAAACTGTACTAATCAATAAATTAGATGTACCATGCTCACATTCAGCTTCATATTCTTATTCTGTGATTTAAAAGTGTAGCTGTGCATGATTCACAGATGCTATCAGAGCTGTTGGCTAGTTCTTTCTAGTTTAACTCTATAACATTTTTTCCCCTACAACTTCTCTGATGCTTGAGCTGAGCCTACTGTTTTATGTAATTCAAAATAAGACACACTGCATTCAAATAAAATATAAACTCCATGTAAGGCAAAACAAGTAGCAGGAAAGTTGCAAGGTAGAACTACAGGTCAGGAGATCCTTGCAATTTAAGACAACATGCATACTAACTCTTGGCCTATGACTGTGTGTCCAAGTGAAATGGTGCATGAAACAGCAGTACATGTCATGGTGTGCACACAGGCAGTTAATAAACCATCAATGATTAATCAAATAAGTTATGGAATCATAATGTGACTCGGACAAACAGATAAAACACAAAACAACTGACTGCTATTGTAAGCCACAATTACTTTATATATACTCTTCAGTATTAGGCAGGACTTCTTATCAATTGCAGCCCATTATAAGACACCACAGAATGAACTGAGTGATGGTAACAATATAGAAAATCATCCCAGCATCATGACCCTGCTATAATTATAAGATATGCCATTTTTTTCTGCTGTTTTAACAAATGTCAAATAACTTCAGCTAACTCCAGCACAGGAAAAATAAAAATCTTGAACAGAAGAGCCATTTACACTTTTTTCCCCCCTCTAAAGTAAAACTTTATTTAAAGTAGCAAATGCAGTGCACAGTGTTCAATAAAAGCTCAATATCCCTCCAAAATCTAAGCATAAAAAAAATCCCAGTAGTGACAGAAGCTATCCAGAGTTGCCACAACATTAGAACTGGTTTGAACAGACCACCGCTGCAGAGGTCAGCAAATCTGAGCCAAACTGTTGACAGTCCTGAATGCTGAGGAGATGGAAAACTCACCGACACAAATGTAGCCATTTCAGATTCTGACAGGTGTCTACTGCCGAGTGTTGGAGAGTTGGGTTTCAGTGAACCAGCACTTAGTTCTGGGTTCCTCTTCGTTTTCACTGCACCGTTAGAGAAGTGTTTACTAAAGGAGCCTGCCAGTCCCGCTTTATAGTGACAAAGCCAAGCAACTGACCCACCCATCTGTGCATAGGGGTGTGGCTCAATGAGGACTGACCAATGCTCTGTGAAGCAGATGGACTAAATAACCCCAGACTTTCTCTAGAGGGTGGATCGCAGTGTTACTAGTACATGCACGATCTTTTGATTAAGTCTATTTGTTAACAAAAGATCCAAACTCAGAACACTTGCATTTAGTAAATATCTGCTGAATAACTGATAATTTAAATGCTGTTTATTATTTACTTGTACTCTAGATGTAACGTGAAACAGATTCAAACCACAAAGAATTTTGTGTTCAAGCAAAAATAAAAAATAATATAAATAAAAAACCTGTACTGAACAGGAGTAGCTTTGCATAAACACACCTAACATGCAGCAATTAATAAAGCACAATAATAGTGCACTATAATCATTATTTCTGTTTAAATAAATGTGCTTGGTGTGGCCCATCACGTCATCTGATTGACATGATGGGCTGGATCTGATTGAAATAAGACGTTTTAGGTAGTTTCCTCTGGCCTTTAAGCCACCTTTCTTCTGACTGGCTGCCTCTTGCAAACTGAAGGTTTAAATCTGACGTCAACTGCGCTTAGATATAACTCTGTACCCCGAGATGAGGCAAAGCACATGCGTTGTGCGTGTGCTCACTAATTGAAACATTAATCCATGTTTAGTATGAGCACTCACCATTGTAGCAGTACATGTAGGACACAAAAATAAGGAAAGGCATAACTGGCTGCCTTTTAAGAAGTTATCTTGGGTCAGTATTTTAGAAATGTGGAATTTCTAATCTATGCATTGTATGTGGTTTGAATATGAAGATTTTATTATTGATGGTTTTTGAGTAGCCCTGTGATGCACTGGTGACCTCTTCTGAGTGTACGCCACCTCCTGCTGTATGACAGCTCAGACAGGCTCCAGCCCTCGATGGATAGATGGATGGATATCTCCTAAACTGCAGTTATCTTATAAGGAGTCTAAAATAAATGTAGAAAGGCACATTCAGCTGAGAGAGGACATTCAACAGTGAAAAAAAAAACCTTTCCTCAAACAAAGTATTCCAAACTTGGAATAACTGGTGCTGTTCAGTAAAGTAGGCACACAAAGTCTGGAGTATCTATAAGCAAAGTAATGCACTAATATTAAAAAGGTGCAGGTGTATAAAGATGTTATACTGGAACTAGTTTCTGGTCACATAGAGACATTTTAGACAAATGGATAAAATAGTTATATTAGTTTTGCAGGAAGAATCCATCCTGCTTTTTCCCCTCAGGCCAAACAGATTAGATCTGATTAGTTATGAATTTCGTTTTCATAGTTAAAATATTTGCATGGCACAAACCACTGAAAACAATATTTGGTTGGAGTTGGAGTAACTGACTTTTTAAATAACATAGTTTTTTTGCAGCAATGTAAAATAGTTCATAAACACTCCTTGCATGCAGTTGCATCATTACTGTGATGCACTTGAATAGAGGGTTGTAAGTTTTGGCAGATTCCTGGCAGTGACCTCCAATCGTGTTTGAGTTACGGGATGTGAAACCGCCAAATTCAATGTGGATAGTTCCAGTTTTAACCTCCTCCTATCCACTTACATAAATGTTGTGATGCGTACCGTTTGCTTTATTGCACTTTCATATAATCTTTCCATCACCACTTCCTGTTTCTGCAATGATCAAACAATTTCTTCCCATACATCATTAAATTTTTATCTAACCAAATCTTAACAGGGGGTATGGGGGTATATCATTAAACAGAAAACTAATTGCTGTTCTGTTATAGATGATATAGCTTCAATTGTAACACATGCTGTAAGTAATAAGAGCTGGAGACATTTAGGTGACAACGCAGATTTTCGTGTTCAAATGATTACTCCAGGGGAGGGAGGGGTGCACATAGTTAATGGTGGGCTAGATCAAACACAGAGAGACAGCTGGTTGCAGATGGATGTTTACAACTAGGATGACCTCATGCTGTTTATCCTCTCCTGGCCTCGCTGTCATTAGCCAGCTCGAATGAACCGCTGATATGACAGGATCTAAAAATCTTTCCCTAATAAAAAAGTGTGTGCATGTAAGTGCGCAGCGGAGATGCTAATCAGCAACTGGAAAGTGCCTAGGAAATGACGCTGTCCACTCTCAGACGACAGTGACGGTAAGGTTGTTGCATAGTGATAAGAAATCATGGCAACCTAAAACGCAATCCTAGTCACGTGTACCCGTTTAATTTACGCTAATCCTTCGACATGCGGCGTATGCACTTGCAGAGCCACACGTGAATCGGTGGCAGAGAGAGATCTGATTTCCTCATCTTGGCATTCTGGCAGCAGACAAACCAGCGCATTGGCCAACCAAGCATAAGGCTAATGCGGATAAACAACCACCTATATACACCCCAAGGGATATTAAGCATTTTATTTATTTATTTTTTTGCAGAAAGTAAGGTTCCCGTTCAATTTCATGCCATGATTTTAATACTTGCCAGGAGTGTGTAATTGCCTCTAAACTGTGCAGTCTTGCAGCGGCTCTTTCTGCATATAAAAATAATAAAGCTCAAGTCATAGATTAATGCACGACTTCCTGAACGAAAGAACGCAGGTCTAAGTTACGAACGGTGTAATGGTTTGAACTTTAAATGAGCAAATAGACTGTTAGATAGTTCACAAAGGTGAAAACTTTCAATTTAAATAACCTGAGATCAATGAGATCCTGCAGCTGTAATTCTTGTAGTTCAATCTCTGGCAAGCTGACTGTTGTGTGTAACCCAATACTGTGACAAATGAGAACAGAGTTTAACATTCTCTGAGTCTAAAACAAAAAATCGAATCAAATAATCGGCCAGAACTTTTATTTTCTCTTCCAGAGCATACTGTACTTCTCTCCCAGCATACGACAAACATTCCTGCACTTTGCAATTGCTCATTTTCATGATTATAAGAAGTAGTCAACATTGTTTGCAACACACACACACACACACACACACACACACACACACACACACACACACACACACACAC